GTCGATAAAATCCCAAAGGACATTGTTCATCCTAAGAAACGTTATTTAGAGGATCTACCAAATCTTCGCCTTTTAGCTTTTAATTTCTGGACAAGCGAACAATTCCACAACACCCTAAAACAGCAAATAATCCCAAGATTTAACATCCCAAAATACCAGATGGGGTCTCCGTGTAGTCCGGTGTCTGAAGTGGGGGAATCAAGTTCTTCTAGACCAGTCTATTGCGTAGATTCCGAATCTGAGCGGTGATCATGTGTTTGAGGGGGCGTTTTCGAGATATTGGGGTGGGGGGGGTCCAATGTCTACTACTGGAAAATGTGATTATGTTAACATAAATGGTGACCTTGTTATATATTATTAAAACGTAAATTTCTAATACTGTCCATCTCAAAATAAGTGTTCATGATGCCCCTGGACAATTGTTTTGATTTGTGGCGAGGTGGGGTGGGTGGTTGCTGGTTTGCGTGTGTGTGTGTGTGTGTGTGTAAAATTGGCTTGAAATGAGTTCAGGTCGATTTAAATGATGATTTTCTTAGAGCTTGATGAAACATCTCTAAATGTGTTTATAAGATTCCCATTGTGTGTGTGGGGGGGGGGGCACTGCGGGGGTGGGGCCAACATGTGTTTTTGTGGACAGAAATCATTTGGTTTCTCGTTAGCTTTTTCGTTCAGTACCTACTTCGTCATTCAATATATTAAATTAAAATGGTACTTTTCAAGAAATCTGGAAATGGCATAAAAAACACGGTAAATCAACGACATGTTTAGTATTTAATTTATTCTTATTCTTCATCAGAAGATTCAAAATCAGAGTTCATAATATGAGCGGGATAAATATCTTCTCGATGGCTAATCAACAGCTCGCATATAGCCTTTTGATTTGCGTCAGATACCAATTAATGGGAAATAGTCAGATGGTCTTTCTGTATTTAAGTGCAACGAAACCATAGGATACATCTGATGAATATTGTCTTACCAAAACCTCTCAAAACTTTCAAAAATCTTAATAAGGCGATAAATTATTCGATCTGACTCGGGGAATAACCTATGTAAAATCGTAAAGAGTGCGACGCATGCGAAATGAAATGAGGTTTAACGTCCTACTGTTTTGCTCCGGACTGGGCTAATAATGACGGGCATACGCCATACAGTGTGGTATAAGGGAATTGTTTCCCGGACAGCGGCACTACGGCCTACTCTTATATCGAATTCCAACTGTCAAGGGATCTTTTACGTATACGCCAATGTGTACACGGGACCTCGTTTTTTCGTTTCATCCGAATGACTAGACAGCTGTCCTTGTAAGGCCCTCCGTCCTGCATCAATGACAAGGGGGATCCACGCCGGAGAATACGGATGAACTTTCTCGGCCTATGCAGGGATCGAACACCCGACCTCCAGGCTAACGAGCCAGCGTCTTACCCACTCAGCCATAATCTTCAACATATGATAAATATTCTTCTCTCATAACTACACAAACAAACCCACCTGGAATATAGATATATACACATCATTATACAAACTTCCCCACCTGGAATATAGATATATATATATATACTCATTACTATACAAACTAGCCCACCTGAGTTATTATAGCAAAAATGGCCAACTTTCTATTACAATCTCCCATAAGTATCCTTAATGTACCTCAAGGGTTTTTTGCAATTCTTTGTATATTCGATCTGCATTTGGTTTCGAGATGATGCCTATTTAATACTTTATGATTTCCGACCAAATTCTAAGTGATTTATAGGTCACTTTACTTTCTATATTTTACATAAAATTCTTGAGAGAATTAAAATATAATTGTGTTTGGCAAGGATATTTAACATTAAAAACAAAAATAAAACATTTAAATAACAGGCCAAATGCAACAGATAACTTATTAGCTTTTACAATCACTACATTTTTGTTCAAAATTATAAACTAATTTCATGGCTTAATATTCAAAAGGTATATAGTTCTCTTGTTGTTATCATACAGCAAATGCTCTCTAGACTGAAAAAAATATATTATACATTGTAGTAGGCAATAAATATACTTTCTATGGTTCATAATATTTAAATAAACAACTCATTTTGTTACATGTTTATTCTCTATTGTTTCAACATTGCATAATACTTATTGTGCCTTTTCCAACTACATAGCCAGGCAGATTATTATGCCTCAATTGGTCAGAAGCCAGAACAAACGTCTTGAAAAAATGATAATAGCAATGAAAAAATAATCATTTGATTTATCAATTAGCCCCACTAAGGCAATCGTGAATACAGTATTGCAAACAGTATTATATAGAGGATATTTGTCGTTTTAGAGTGAATAACATTTTTTATTTCATCGAGAAGCAAGAAAACTTATATTTTCACGAATGCGTAGCATGAGTGAAAATATAAACGTTTTCTTGATACCAGATGAAATAAAATATGTTATTTAGGCAACTATAATTATTCAAGGAGTTGACATTTTTGTGGCCCGATATTTGGATGATTTGGTTTGGTGCAACTCCAGCATCGTTTAACTTTTGTACTAAGTGTTTACGTGCACTGCAAATAAAAAAAAACAAACAAAAAGCAATTAATTAGATATCTATATTTTTCCATTTTTATTATAGGTTGCTTTTTATATCGAATATAACTACAGCATTAGACACAATAACATTTGCTACAAGAAGATTGTTCTATTTTTTTGTCACCCACTGTGTAGATGTATTTTAAAAAAAATGGCACTATATTTTGGGTTGGCTTTAGAGTGAATAATTAAATCATCAGGAATATGGGTGGTGGTCAAGATCTACTTTACTATTGTTATTGTTTGTTGAAGTTTAAAGCTTTTGGTAATCGCAACATGAACATACCTGTATGGTGTGATACGTTTATCAGTTCCTGTTAGCCCAGCTTCCTCTTTCATATTTTTCATTATGGAATACAATTTGTTTATGCCCATTGGTTGTGCCTTGAACCATAACTGTCCTGGTTTAGGATTTCGAGATGATACAGTCAGAAAAAAAAGGGCTCTCGGGGTCAAGCATCTTGTGGTCTTCTCATTTGGTAACATTTGTAGCTATGGACAGGGTCCTTCTCTTTACATTCCGGTATGGCATATGCCCTGGGTTTTGTGAGTCTAAAAAAAACAATATTTTAATATTACTGTGATTTTTGGGAAATTTAGTATTTCTAAGTGCATAAAATTATTACAATTTAAATAATTTAATATTTGGAACAAAAATTCTTGGATTTTGTAAATTAAAATTTCAATATGAATGAATCGCGCAAAAATTTAACAAAAAGGATTTTTAAAGTTTTGAGGTAAAACTTGCAGGGAAAAAACTTTTTGCCTTAGCTAGGCTTTACTTTAAAAATCCCTGTAGTCTACTAGATTTGAACTTTTTCACAAAAATTTGGAATTGAACCAGGCTTGTTTAAAATGTTTAATCTCATATGAATATATATAGATCAAAAACTTTTTTATAAACAATAGGTTACCTTACATCCCTAGGATTGGAGACTGTTCTTGTTTTAGTTTGACGTTCCGTGTGGTATTGAAGATATTCGTCTCCATTTAGATCAGCCTTTAATGCGACGTCTCCCCATTTTAAATTGTGAACTTCTTGACCTGTTCGCATACCAAATTGCACTGTGCAAATCATCCACAGTGTATGAATTAATGATTGTGGAGTGCTTTCTCCAAGTGTCTTGGTAACAAACATTCTTTCTATGTCCTCATCGTTAATGGGGTCTGCAGCATGAGGTTTGTTTCCTTTTCCCTTTTTTAAAATCTTTTTGTTTCATTTTCAGTACTTGTCGGCACTTTTCGAATGCAAGATCTTTTATTAATGATAAAACCATATTCTTTTTCCCTTAGATGTCTGTCGAAAGATGCAAAGAAAGAACGTAAAGAAAATGGTTCGTATTCATTTCCATCTGTTTTTTTTTTCACCGACAGCAAAAACTCTGAAATTAGCATGTTGAGATCTTGTGCAGGAATTGCTTCCATTAAGCTATTGTTTCCTTTTGAAATAAGTAATTTCTGAAACAGTTTGATATCACCACTGTTTTGTTTTCTTGTGTTTAGGTTTTCTTGTTCCTCCAGAAAATTGTTAATATCCATTTCTGTAATTTCTTTAAATCTACCATTTTCGGTTAGTCCTGTTCCAGATGTATTAATTAATTCAAAATTCCCATATTCTACATGTAAATTGTCGTCCGGCATTAAAATTTTAATTTCTTTTGCAGAGGCCATGGTGTTGGCGTTGAAGGTACTGGCTTGATTGAATTAATAGTTTAAAAAAAAGCAGACGACGCAAGGGAGGTAACTCCAGAAAACAAAAAAAAGTAGTCCCGGCGGCCAGTGAAATAACAAGCTTTATTTCACTGCTAGCCAGATATATTATTTGAGGCCACGGTCAGGTTTACCGACTTAAGATGCATTGTGTAACTTATTTGTCAGAATGGATATAATTTTATTAATGGATAAAACCTACGCCCCCGGTAAGACATGCAACTACGTGTGCATATTTTGAAATACTTTATTTGAATGAGGTTGGCTGATGTTTGACTACAATATCACTGCGGTGCATTCGCACGATAAATTACCTATTTCACACCAGATGTTGATGTATTCAACGTACGTACGTGACTAGTCCGACTTTTTTAAATTTCGCGGTGGATCTGTTATTACGAATTTCCTCGGCGTTTTAAAATATTCGCGGTGGTCAACGGCTTAGAGGAGGAAATTAAGAGTGTGGGCAGACCGGTTTGATTAACTGAGGCCCGCGATTTTTCATTTCCGCCCAGGCCCAGGTCGATAAATTCTTTTGTCCGAGATGCTCGGAAAACTCATTTCCAGCATTTCTGAAAACAAATTTTCATGAGGAGTCCCCCAGACCCCCCCCCCCGTCAGCAGAGCGCGTCATACATAGAACCATTGTCCACGTCTGGCGGGGTTGTGGGCACAGTAATGTTTGTAAACGTTATACTATGTTTCCCTATTTTAGGATTTGGTTAAGCAATTGTCGATACGCAGGTCAGTAGATTATTCCTACTATTTTCTAAACTTCTGGAACTTCTAAAGTCTAAAGTAAGCGAGGTAAAACCCGTGTAAACAGGCAGTAAAATGGAGGTTCCTAACATGACTAAAATAAGGTCCGAACTGGGAGTGAAAATAATAATTAGTACAGCAGCGATTAAGGCCAAAATGGCGTAGCCCCACAAATGCTTAAAACTTGACACGAATGGATTTGATGCCTTAAAGTCTTCTTCAACAGCTCTCTGTGGAACCCATTTCACCGCGGCACCGACATTGGCCTGAATGGCGCGAATTATTCGGACACAACCAACAAACGCTTCTGGTGTAAACTGTAAAATGGAAGCCACTGCCTCTATTATGACAAATTTAAAGTTTTTGCGCGTTGTTGTTGGGAACTTCGGGAATATAAGCACAAGGAACATAACAATAATTATAGAGGCGTGTCTATAGTATAGATTAGCTTGATAATGTAACAGAATATATAACAACAAAATAGGCTTCATAAACATTTGTCTTAATGCTGAATGAGCAACATATGAGGTCACAAAATCCATTTTCGACTTAGTCCGCAATTTTGTTGCTACGAATTTTTCTCCCTGAAGTTTGCTTTGTAGCCATCGCATTGGAACACCAACAGCGTTTTCCCAGAAATAGAAAGCTAAGAGAACTTCTCCTCGGTTCCACCTGCGCTCGCGAATGTTCCACGTCACATAATTATAAGATGGCGCCTCCAGAAGATACACACTGCCAGCATATAGGGGTTTCAGTAAAGACGCTTCAAACGTATCGTGACTCAAAACATCTATCGGTACGCGTTCGATTAAATTTCCTCTGTATCCGATAACATTGTCAATATATACACGATTCTTAATAAGACCTTTGCCGAAGAAAGAACTTTGTGAAAAATATGCCATTGTGGCGTTGGTCAGGGGCTCAAACAGAGATTGTCTCAACGATTCAAGATGCATAAACATGGTGTCGCTGCTGGTGCAATGGAGCTTTATAGCCGGTTGAATGATGCCACGATCCGGATGAGCTGCGGCTATTTCCATCAGGTCAAAAGTCCCGCCTTTCGGAACGCCTGTGTCTCCGTCCAGAACCAACGTATAGTCAGTATGTCGTCCGTAAATTCTCTCGACATCTTCGGAGTCGTAGAATAAAGGCTGTCCATACGGTCGAGCCGCTTTCCCGTAATACTCCGGATCGCAGTAGGAATAGGCTTCATCATCGCCGTCAAACAGAAGCATTAAATCTTGATACTGACCGCATTTTCTCAAGACACGACTTGTTCGATGAATCACCATAAATTCTTTAGCGAAATTATCGCAAATAGTATCTAGATATTCCCGCACAAAAATACTTGATTCCACGTCATTGAATTTCTCCCAAACATGTTTTAGTCTCAGTGGTTCCACAGAACTGAAATCTCGACTAGAATAAGATAATCCTTCACGAAATAACTGATCGTAAATCAATCCGCGGTAATTGTCTCGTGCTTGCAACTCGTATTTCTTCAGTTCTTCGTCATTCGTTGCCGAAACAAGCACCGCGCACGTGTTTGCTGATAAATTATAAATAAAAGCTTCATACATTGTCTGTAAACATTCGTCAATGTCGTCTTCACTTAGAGCCAATAAATTATAGTTCAAACATAAAGACAGGTGATCAGATCGCGCTTTCTTACTTTGTCTTTGATCTCCGCCGACAATAAGAGTTACCCCTGTCATAACGGGAAGCTCCAAAACACTGCCCTGTACAATTCCCGCCACAACAACTACCAAAGTACCTTGAATAAGGTTTGTTTTACTCCAGTCTAGGTTCATAATGTTTAAAATAACAACAACTATTGCCAGGAAAATCCACACTGAAAAATATAGGAAGACTCGTCTAGTTTTGTTCATTCTGGGGCAGTGTTATTGTTAAATAAGCAATAATAAAAAAAACTTTTCACAGGTCTGTATTATTCACAGATTAAATAGGCTTAAAGATAATACATGTACATGGTTTTAACACATTTAATGACAGCCAGTCACACACTATAAGATATGTTAAAATTGCAGAATCTTCTCCTTCCGGGTGGCTCGAATATAGTAAACTTTACGATAAACTTGTCCATACATAGCATAGTCTCAAATCAAACGTTTGTGTTAACAGCATTCTTATTCTGGCGTTTTATGTAACAGTTTCAGATAAACGCGAATTATTAATATTCCAATGAATTAGACATTAAAACCTCCAAATTAAAGAATTGCCACAACGCGCGAAAAATTGAAACAGAAAAACTGAGAAATATCTTTAACGAAAGTTAAAAGTCATTACAACTTTGGAGAATAGCGTAACGTATTTATCCGCGTTTTATAATCATACAAATGGTTTTATCGTCGTGATTTCTCTGGTGTTGGCATATATATGTGTACAAACTACAATGTAATACAGGGCGAAGCTATTGTATTAATATTGTAGAATTTTTGCTTTTGGCAAGTTATTAAATCCACATATATGTAGTATTGTAATTAAATCAGCAGATGTATTTAAATCAACAGAGTGACAGATGGTTAAATAAAAAAAGTCATAATGTGGTAAACATTCAATTCTAGGTTGATAACAGATATCTCATGGGAAGTTTCTTCGGTAAATTTCCATTTAACCATATAAGGTGGGTTTCGACGTCACGTGGCTCAATTAACCAATTTCTCTAATTATTTACACCATATTTGACCAATTAGATAATTGAACGTCAAAACCCAAGCTACAAAATTATTACATTTGTGAGAATTGGATAGACAACAGACAGATTCCAAAAGGGGAAGATGTAACAGTTTCTATCAGCAGACTCGCCTAGTCTGCCGGGCTAGTGTTTGAGAATGACTTTATTATTGTAATTTATACTAAGCTTGTATCCATATGTAAGCGGCTATGATATATACAACGTAAAAATGAACTGTTGCATTGCTATAACTACTGAGAAGACAAACGTCTTAAGGAAAACAATAAGAAGTAAATACACAACGTATAGCAGAAGCAAAGACAGCTAGAGACAAATTCTAGACGATCACAAGGCTACTAAGATATGTAGTAAGAAATGATGCATGGGTCGACCGGAGTTGGTTCCCCGGCTCTTCAAGCCTGACAAAAGATCAATGGTGCTACACTATTTTGTAATTCTCCATATTTTGTTTAGCCGTGTTTAATTATTTCATCCCACAATAGCTGACAGATGGGTCTGTAACAGTCAAACATGCAATGTATGTCGGTAGGAGAACGCTAGATCGGCGACGGTGTTGCATGACGTCATATGTGGATTAGGTTTAAGAATTTGGGGGATGAGGATAAATCTCCACATAAGCATTGACCTAGGATGATGAAAATTTAGTTCGTGATATTTCCTAGTTTTATTAAAAATACATGCAATACATCAGGTTATGTACACAGTTGACTTCGCTGTTTGTTTTGGTGTTGGTGGCGCTGGTGGTGTCCCTTCGGTGTCGCTTGTTGTACAGTTTAGGACTTACAGATTTCGTCTCTCCATGTCTCCAGATGTAAACAGGGCTAACCCTAAAGCACAATCCACATTGCGGGACCGTCTCCGATCTGGCTTTCTCCATGTCGGTAATCTCCGGAACATGACGTCACGTATTCGGCAATCCCCGACACGTACGTATGGTGAATTGAAAGTCATAAATCCGGCATAAACTATGTTCAAGCTGTCATCAGTTATTAAGCTTTATTAATAAGGATCAAGCTAATTAACGCTGACAAGTTTTAAACAGAGTATAGATTTATGATTAATTTAGGAGATAAACACCTCCTGTTTTGCATTTAGAGGGGTGTTATTGTCCAATAGACATGTCCTGAGATCATTAGGACCCAAAACGATATAAAGAGGTGTTTGAAGTATATCTCGATACAAAATATTTCCTATTTAGTGTAAATGGGTATATAAATTGAGTAAAAGGCATCATTTTGTCCGGACCAGGTTACGTTACTATACTATAACCCTCTAATCGAGCCCATTGAGTCACATGTAGAAGGCACTTGACAATAATCGTAAATCAAGCTAGCAAACAATAATAGTTAACGGCCTGTAATACGAAATTCCAGAAATAGTGGTGTCGGGTGAAAATGTCGGGGTTGAAATGTCGTCATGTCGGGGCGTCGGGTTAAAATGCCGTCATGTTGAGTTGTCGGGTTGCTTATGAAGGGCGACACCACGACATGATACCAATCAGCCGCCATACTGTCATGATTACATACATTAGAAAAGATAAAACTCTTTTTATTTTAGGCAAAGAAATGTGTCGCTATCAGACAATAACATAAATACTAAAAAAAGACTACTTTTTATTTTTATTAATCGAAGTCTCGGATAAGCCATACCAAGCACGTGATTTTTTTTTTATTGCACACTGGCTGGCTTCATTCATCCTTATTGTTTACTAATTTGCATACTGGCTTTATTTCGTGTTCTCTGTGAATAAAGTTACGATGCAACAGACAAATGTTGAAAGAGAAATACATTGTGCGATCAGTGTCAAACTGGAAGATGTCAGAGTTCAAAGTTTAAAGTTCTGTGTCACCGTTAGGCATGTCATTGACATTGCAAAAAGTCTAATGCGAAATGTTGAATGTCAAAAATACAATGTGAAAAAGAAAATATTAAATAAATGAAGTTTATTGAATTGGTTATGTAGAACCACTATAATTTGTCAAAATTCGAGATGAAAAATTACCCGAAGTAAAAGAGCTAATTATTTTTGCACAGAAAAAAAACTAACTTTTTATTTGTCAATATTACAAGGTTTACACGTTACTTTCAGCATTTAAAGCATTGGAGATGTAAAAGCACTAACAACATAGTACCGAGTTTTGACTCAAATCCCACGTCATATAAGAGTACTATATTAAACTGTGTTTTAATGGCTGGTGTGATGTCTTTACAAATTATTATTTGTATGTCACAATTATCTTCCATAGTTTAATAACTGTAATTTATACGCATGCATATTACGTATGTATATTTGCATGTTTCCGGTGATGAGCGTTCTGACTTGCCGCAATCATGTTGTAGAGATGCCATATGCTTTTCATAATAAAGCAACTATGTATTATAAGTTTTATCGTCGTATCTAATTAACTCACATAAATATCAGACAATATAACTTGCCTCTAAATATCATACAGTATAATATATTTTATGATATTCAACAGAAGGCTTGATCTTGCCTTAACTATGCACATCTTATCAAGGCCTTCACGTAATACCCTGCATATTTCGGCATTAATTTCGATTGGGTATTTACCCTGTTTGTGAGCCTATCAGATTCGTCGGCCATCGCGAATACCAAGTCTCGCGCTTTCTAGCTAAAATGTCTACCTGCGATAATCGAGTTGGAAAGTTCAAGGTTTGTTCAATGTCAAGGTTTTCGTGGAGGTCACTATGTCACAACCTCTGATTGGACGCTACTGTTCACGTATCAGCAGATAACGTAGCTATAAGTTCCGGAATTGTAAAGTAATCTAGCAACGTCCACGTAAAACGTAAAAATGTCCTCTAGAAGGAAGCGTAAACCGCCCTACACTACTAATAAAACTCCGATAAAATTAATAAATCAATTAATAAAATTAATCAATTAACAGTAGGGCGGAACGTAAAAATGTCCTCTAGAAGGAAGCGTAAACAGCCCTACACTACTAATAAAACTCCGATAAAATTATTAAATCAAATTATACAATGTAGGATGAAGCGAAAAAACGTCCCCTAGAGGGAATCGCCAACTGTCCTACACCACAAATAAAACTATTGATTAATAAATCAGGGCGATAGCGCAAAAATGTCACCATAAGAGGGAAACGCTACACACCCTGAAATATTCTTTACACTTTTATTTATTTGACTAAATAAGTATTGATTGTAGATCATATTAAGCCACCATATATGTATTATTGTATTTATTAACTCCTAATAAATTTTGATTGAGTGTATATCATACTAACTTGCCATAAATGCATTTATTTTTTTTTTCTCCTCTAACCCCAGCCCCCCCCCCACGAAGCCTTACTAGACGAAATAAAAACAAAACCATCACAAGACCAGCTACTCTTTTTTCTCTAGCTTTCTCTTTTCAGGCGCTGGATTCTTCCTTCAGAGAACCAACAACAAAGGAATGAACAACAGAAATAATGACGAAATCAACCACCATACCGGACAACAAAACCAATTGGAAGGAAGAATGGTCTAGGCCTTACACTCACCAACAAGCCCCAAGGAAGAGTTGCACCGCCCTGCCATTCAACCGGACAAATCGACCAGACCGACGAAAATGACCTAAATATATATATATATATGTACATACTATGTCTAAATGTTTGTCTCTGTCCAAATGTTCGTCCACATTCATTTTGTTACAAATTCGTCTGTTTTGTAAACGTCCACTTGCACCTGCTATCTCATGTCTCTTGCTGTTATCTATTGTCTTCTGTACATATATATAAAAACCTAATTATCCTCTTTTTTACTAATTACATTGTAAATTATTGCACCTTGTATACATAACATGTTATTGTCTGCGATATCACCTTGGTAGAATCGGACGTAAAATACAACTAACTAACAACAACAACAGTAATCCAGTAGACGTGGTACAAGGGTTAATCAGCGAACTGGATGTATGAGATGTGTTGTTGACGTTTGGGAAAGTAGGACGAGGGGAAATGTGTAGGGAGTGCTGTAAAGGGATAGTTAGATGAATTATGAATGGTTAGAGTGGCTGTTGTGTTACGGTGAAATACTATGCCGCCACCGTAACACCACAGCTTTATGATTTGTTAGACAGGAGTGATGTAATGGGTGTCAACAACTGGGTATGCTGGTACCGTCGCAACGTAGCCGTGAAATATATATTGTGGGGGGGAAGGGCGGAAACGG